CTCCTGAGCGTCCCAGGAGTATCAAGAAAGATTCAGATATCAAAGAACCTTCATCAGCCTCTAGTTCATCTTCTAGTAGTGAAAGTGATGATGAAACAGGCCACAAAGTGCAGCAGAGTACGGGGAAGTTGGGTATTGCATCTCGCCCATTCAAAGAATCTCAAACAAAGAGTCCTGATCCAAATGCAAAGTGGCCTACCATTGATCTTCAACACCTTCCTAGAGTTAAGCGGCGCCTAGATATCAAAGCACCATCAGTAGATTCTGACACATCTTCTAGCAGTGACAGTGAGGAGGAAACAACGAAACACATAAAGAAACAGGAACAAGCAGATATATATAGTCCAAGGCAAGAAACTGATTTGCTTTACACAAAAACCCAATATGTTCATCATACTGCAGACATCAAATCAGTATTATCAGCTTCTGAGTCATCTTCAAGTAGTGACAGTGAAGATGAAAAAAGGGGCCAGACAAAGAGTTTGGGCTCAACGGGGTTTCAACAATCTCAAACCAAACGTCATGATCCTATTTACACATCAAGCAGCTCAGATGAGGAGGGGATGGAAGATTTAAGAAACCGCCCAGTTGCAATTAAACCAGATTCAAGATTGCCTGAAATAGGCCTCAGCACTATCCCTTATGTCAAAAAGCATCTGGATATCAAGACACGTTCACCTAAGTCCTCCTCCAGCAGTGATGAGAGTGAAGGTCGGACTACAGACCAGCCTGTTAAAATGGCTAGCAACTTAGGCTCTCCAACTTCTACATTGTTTAAGCTTCCTCACATTTCAAAGAAAGATTCCAATATTACATTAGAAAAGTATGTTGTTATAACAGATGAGTTGACGGAAAATCGAAAAGACAACGTCAGCACAACACCAGAGATAAACTCTGAGCTCCAGTCACGATGGGCCACAATGAATCTTGGTTTTTCCCGATTTAGAAAGCGCCTTGAAATCACATCACCGAGTTCTCAACCATCCAAATATCCCTCATCACCTCCGCCAGACTCCTCTTCTCTGAATCCTGAAAACAAACATGTGAAACCCTCTGATTCCTCTTCCAGCAGCAGCAGCAGTGAAGATGAGATAACAGAAAATAGAGCTCCTCCAGGCATGACATATGTTGACTTTCCAATCTATAAGCGTTCAATTATGAAAACTTCATCGCTATCTGATAGTTCTTTCTCCCCCAGTGGCAAGAGCCAAATGGTAAATGTTGCACAGGAAAGTGAAAAGGACAGAAATTCATCACTTGCTCCAAAGAGAGTATCCAGTCTGAGCTTTGAGGATGAAGTAAGGAGAAGGACTGAACAAAGACACAATGCAAATGCAGATATACCACCAGAGATAAAATGGACTGGTGTTGGTCATCATCTGTCTAAAATCTCTACACCAGCACTAAAGACGGGTCTGAATACAACACCACCACAGCAGGCTTCACCTGCAAAACCAGAACTTCCCCAGCTGTACTCCTCCAGCATCAAAAGTGACGTTAAAATAAAGCAAGACAGTTGGAAATCAGATGTAAAGCCAACACATAAATTCTCATCCATTAGTGCCAATAGTACTTCTTCTGCATCCGGAGGTGCTCTTCACAGGCTTTACAACTCACCCAACACCACATATGAGAATCCAAGCCCTCTTTTGCTCTCTGATAGGAAGGAAAGAAAAGGCCTCAGTGCCCTAAAAGTCATGTCATCAGAGAGAAAAATGTGGGACACGGTGGATTTCAGTGGGGATGTATCTCCTACAGCTGACCACAGTCCACAAGTTGACACCGGTGTTTATTATCGCAAGTCTGAGCCAGACATCAAACCCCTGCCACGATTACATCTCCCCTCTGCTTCACCAGATGAGAGAAAAGCAACAGATTTGTTGTATGATCTTCCCCGCTACAGGAGCCATGACATCAAACCACCACAAGTTGCCCCACCTCCTATTCCTGTAACACTACCGCCAGAGGAGGCCGTTGGGCTTTCATGGAGATCTCCACAGGACAATAAGAAACACGGCTCGGAAGGAAATAGAACCTATCAGCAACAGAGACAAAACACAGAGGAACCTGTTGCTTCTTCGCTTACACCAGAATACCCACCAACCTATTTAAACACTTCAAACATCAGTCATGTTTAATGACAAGTCAATTCACGCTAAACACTTGAAAAGCCACCCAGATGATAGGCATGATTCTCTGAGCTTAAGTTATCCTGTGAATGTCCAAAATATTGTGAATTGTATATTATGTGTGACTTTGGAATGAAATGTAAGCTATAATCATTCATTGGCTAGGGCTGCCACAGAGCACTTAAATGCAGTCTTTATCAATGCACCATGCTTATCTTTCATGTTTGACTTATTTCTGCAAAATAAGATGCCAAATGAGTTATTTACTTGCATTCATGAACAGAATTTCTGACTTCTGAAGGAAGTCCAGTGTGATGGCTCAAATTTGTGTATAAAAACCTAAATTCAGTGATGTTAAAGACTAAAATCATGAAATAATTTACAGATTTTTTTTTGTATCTCTAATTGAACATTTTAGCAAATAATAATAATAATAAAAATATCAATTTGCACATATACATTTTTATTTGTATATGTGCTACATCCCAGATTTCTGTGCAATTTATTTAGCTATTACAGGTACAAAAACTGATGATGTAGAGGTCTCAAAATCCTATGTATTAAATGTGATACACTTGACATTATAAGGTTAAACAAGGGTGAACTATCAACTAAATAACCAGAACATAAGCCATAAATAAGTTAATAAACCATTTTATTTACTTGTATAGACACAGGTTATAGTGAAAACAGACACATAGACACATAGTTTACATACATATATACAGTTGGGACAAGGCTGTTCATCCTCCTGCATTATCAAGGGAGAAGACTAAACCACTGATCTCTACACAGTATTTGGTAAGCAATCCTACAACTACTTTAGTCTTAAGGTTTATGCTGACGGTAGATGCATTGTAGTGACGACAAAGGTTTCTGTGTAGTTTTCAACTGAAATGGATTTATGGAAGCGTTTATGTATGTCATGACAATGTAGTGCAACAGTAGCAAAACAGGCTACTGTCTGCATTGCCTGCAGTTTGCCAAAGTTTTGCAGCATATGTAAGGATGTGTAACAAAGGGTAAATGCAGGAGGGAACTCCTGTTCCACCATGAGGTTACAGGTGTGTTCCAGGTCTTAATAGACACAATCATGTTTATCATCAGAATTCAAAGAACATGATTGTGTTTATGAAATTAAGCACAAAACACTTGCACAAAAACCTGTACAAAACAAAAACAAAAAGTTTGAAAAATGTTTTCAAAAAATCTCATCCATTCACAAAAGGCTCTGTCGGAGCATGCATGCAAATATTAAATCTTCTGACAATTCAGCATCACATCACAGCCAAAGACAAAAATTTATACATGTGTTACAAGAACATTATACTAGGCGAAAAGAACAGCATAGCATCATCACAAAGTTCCAAACTGTCAGTGTCCACTGTTTTGAGTACATCCTATGGGTGGTACAAAGCAACACTTTCACCAAACGTACCTTACTACTCAAGCCTAAAGGACCTCATCCTGAGAGGGTCACCGGTCTTCCACTGCAGTTACATTAACACCGTCAGTGTTGGGAGAGATGCTACTGGTAAGAGGAGACCTGAAACTATCAGTGGACTAAGGAAGACAAACAGATGCCACATATCAAGACAAAATGGACACCAACTAGCTCTATGTCAACTTATAACACAGCCAAAACAGTCTGAGTTCATCCTGAAATAATCCCTGACCACTCAGTGTGTCTGTGTGCATGTACTCTTATCACACGTGTATGTACATTTGGGTTTATTGGTATGTGTGTGGGACACACAAAGTGACTTCCATGTTTTGAGGCACAGTAATACTCTCATCTACAGAACGTAGATACATAAATCAGTCATCAGACCAATAAATGCTGATCAGAGCACTAGTGGCTCACCGCTGTACTGTAATAAGAGTTAGTAAGCAGCAATGCTAAACTGTTTGGTGTTATGAGGTCTGAAGCCTTTGCAGGGGGCTAGCAAATGAATAGCTAGAAGCAAAAAAACAAAACAAAACAACAACAACAACAACAAAAAAAGCTGAAGCAATCAAAACTGGAGGGGAAAGAAGAAAACAAACAAAAAACAACTACAAACTGGCACAAATCAATAGAATAGAAACTTGCAATCAACCATTTGACACAGTGTGCTTCTTGAAGTACTCCTATGAAACTCAAAATATGACAAAAATAAAAAATAAAAAAATTAAGTGCTATCTGTCCAGAAAAGCTCAAGTTCAAGTTCATTGCACAGATGTATAATACTTTAATGTGCCCAGGTCAAAGTGACCCTATTTAAGACTCAGACACAATGCATGAATGGTCACTTCTCTCAGTTTCTCTGTGCTGAAGACAAGGGGTGAGGAGTGGTTCTCCCACACAATACCATTTTGCTTCCATCATCCATGTATGACACCACGTTATCCTAACACAGACAGCAATATGACATGTCACAGTGAGAGAGCAATGCCACTGGAGATTGCTGCAAGCTTGCCCACTACGCAACTTCGGTAGGGAGCACAGCAGCCCTCCTGCCTCCACGCTCTGAGCAGCGTGCATGCAGGCTGCAAACCCAGCAACCCCACCCTAGCCCACCCACAGCCCAAACCCCTCCTTTCCCCAGGAAGCACCCACAGTCACTCCTTTACTTTTTTTTGTATTGGTTACTTATTGGTTATTGATTCTCAGAGTCGTTGTTGTCACAGTTGTACTACTTTCCCATTTTTGCGCTGCAGTTATGACATCTGTCTTTCTTTGTACCATTCCACAAACTCGTCCAACAAAACAGGCCCTAATGAAAAAAAACAAACAAAAACAAAGATGAGGCACAAATTTCAGTATATTACAAAATTAGTATTTGGGTAACACTCAGCTACACGTAAATGTGTGCTCACTTACAGGCACCATCTTCATCATAGTTGCTGAGGTCCAGGTTGATTGTCCTGCTGAACTCTAAAACATTGCACCATTGGTCTTTGTTGATGACTTTGTACTTTGATTGCTGAGGAATAACAAATAAATCCTTTAGAGTGATAGCTTTTTAGCTACAACAGCTCTTTCCAAGGTTAAAATGGGCAACAAATGATGGTATATACAACTACTCCACGAGACTTCTGTGACTGATTTTCTTAAAAAACAAAACAAACACCCCAACCAACCAAACTGCTTACCTCTAGAAACTGATTAAACACAGGAAACAAAGGCCACGTCTTTCCCAGAAGAAGCCCCAACATACATTTGGCTGTGTTCAAGTCCAAACTCCTCTGATCCTTTTCCTGTACAATCAGAACACCCAAGACTTTCTCAAATCAATGCAACAAGTCCAAACAGACAGTCAAGTCAGACAGCCAGATTAAAATATTTACTGTTTCTTACTGAGATTTTTGTATTTGTTCAAATGAATTTAACCTGGTTGTTGAATGCTGTGTGTTGACTGCTCCACTCACCCGAGCAAAATCAAAGGCATATCTATAAATGAGCTTAAAGCTGGTGCTGTCATTTAGGACAGATCTCAGGTAGTCAAGTGAATTCCTCAGCCTCTCAGTCGAATCACACCTGACGGCAGCAGAAAACTAGCTTAGGTATGTTACAGGATCCAATTTAATGCAAGTTACACTAAGAAAACACATCAATCTAAATAGGAAAAATGAAGAAGAAGAAAAAAGCACTAAAGTAAGTAAATGACATACTGCAATGACCCCATGCCTCTCAGCCACTCCTGAAGGGTGAAATATCCCATACTCTGGGCATCCAGCTTCCAAGCAAGAACCAGCATCACCACCTGAGCACAAGCAACAAATGACAGTTGCAGATATTCTTAAATACAAGATACTCAATCCATTACATATCACATGACCTTAAAGGTCTAGGACTGCTGATTGAGAATGCAGATTAAAAGATAGACTTTTATAAAGTCTCAGAAATGATCTGAAATGCAAATTGTCACCACTTCCAAAAGGATGTCATTAAAGAAAATGCCAGAGAGATAAACAGATGTCGAAATATGAAAGATTTTAAATATGCGCTTACATTCTCCGGCTCCACCCCGATGTCCTCACAGAATTTTTCCATGCCCTCTGGACCCACCACATCATCGCAGCCTATTCACGATAAACAAATGTCAATAGCAGCAATTTCCCATGTATGCACTGAGAAGAGGTCAAATGCAATGAAACTAAGAGTGTGTCCAGTAAGTGCTCACCTGCATATTCATAGAACCACTCCAAGCATCTTTTACTAGAAAACATCTCCTCCTCTCGGATTTGGGATGTTTCATGTTTTCTGAAAACGCTGTGAAGGAAAAAGAAAATTTCAACCATACTACACGTGCAGTACACCGTTTATTATATGTTTACGAATGGCAAAATAAACTGTGTACTGCACATATTCAAGTTCACTGAATATTTAATTAAAGGGATCTCGCACCTGTCCTGGCGACTTTTCTTGGCTGACATGTCATCTCCAGCAGAGGGTCTCCTCTTTTTCCTAGGAGGCATGGCTTTAGAGCAACAAGCTAGGGAAGTAAACAGAGGAGAAAATGAAAGAATAAATCTTTAAGAACGACATGCATTATGCCAACTTTCTATAGCAAAACACTTGAGTACTAGCCAAGCACTGAGAGTCCACTTCAGAAAGTGATATGTTAATGTACATCTGGCCTGATAAAAACACTAAACTGATTTAAAAAAAAACATAAAAAAGGAGCAGCTGTATAGTTACCTGAGGGGTGGCTGTCCTGTCCAACGTCTTCTGCCAAGTTCTATTCAAAACAAATATGTGTGAGTAGGACACAGATGTACAGGGCACATGCATGCTAAAATAAAGCACACATAAACATATTGCTAATATGCATTTACCAGCCTGTGCAAGGTGTGGTGGATCTTATGGATGCTGGCCAGTGTAGTCAAGTGGGAATTCAGCTGAAAATCTATTTCCAAAAAATAAATATAACGTCAGAAAAGAACTAAACTAAACCGTGACACTCAGCTTTATGCTCCTGATCATGCTTGGCATGAGCACAAGGGTACAAGAAGGTGACATCATCACAGCCCCAGTAAGAACACTGGACTCAAATCTCAGGTGATCTTTGATTAGGAATCACACAACATTCACAGAGCACGCACTACTATCGCTTGATTTCCAGTTTTCAAAGATCTACGTTGCTGAAAATATCTCACACGAATGAGGGAGGGACTGCATTCCTCTAAAGACGTGAGAACGATCATGCATGCGACCTTCTCGCTTCAAGCCTTCTGTGCACTGTCGATTAAAAGCTGTCACCAAACACCGATGATTTTAACATTTTTTCAGAGGCCAAAACCACACTCAAACCAGTACACTGCCGAGCAGATAGCACTAACTGCATACCTAAAATAGCAGTGCAGACGCGCAACTTGCACAGAGTTTACAAAGTATCTGGAGAGTTTGGACGTATGGGCGTTGTAGTCCATTTCCTCTAAACAGGCCATTGGAAGCTAAGCTCTGTTTGGGATACTAAACTACAATTCCCATGCATTTGCAAAACAACTACTTCTCTCAGACCCTTCTACCCCCAACATTTACACCAACTGATTGAATGCATTTTACGTTGTTTGAAAAATATACAACATTATATGTGTTCTGGCACAAAACCAACGCACAGGCGTTTGCAGCAGCTGGTGTAGATGGCGCAAAACCCGGCGGCAGTGCTGCAGCAGGCAATGAAAGCTGTTTTACACAACTGCGTCACAATTTTCATTCCCTGTAAGAGTCCGCAGTTGACCAGAATATTGACCGATTTGCAATGGTCCTGCGTGGATGCCAAATGTGAGCTGATACCTGCTGTACGTGACCCATAAAGATGAATATAAACAGCTCAACACGCCGTTTAACCATCGAAAACCATCTGAATTTAACTAACGTCAGCCGCATTCAGCCGAGCACCGCTAACGCGACTCGAAAAATTAACTTCGCAAAACCTTCAGTGTCAAATATAACCTTCCACATGTCCAAACAGCTAAAATTACACCAGCTATCCTCCCTTTGTTGTCGCACAAGACAGCACTAGCAAATACAAAGAGAGCAGCAAATAGCACAGAATTCACGCGTCCTCATCAAACGCCACACGACCATGAGACAAAACTGTTGTTCAAAACAGAGCAAGACTATTAACGTCTGTGCCACACGCGCTATGGGGTCCCAAATTGATCCAGAAAAACCTCTCTAACGTTACTACTTACTTGCCGCATCAGAGTGCATTTTTATGAAACATACAACTGTCTGTGGGAAGTCCGCAGACCGGCCAATAGGCGGGCCTTGTCAATTTAAGCCACGCCCGCAGCTGTGGATTGAAGGTCAGCCTCATTCGCCTCCGCCTTTGCTCGCTGTCAATTGGCTAGTCGAGGTGTCATGTCATGACAGGGAGGGAAAAGACACCAGCTCCTCCCTCAACGAAATGTGATTGGTCATAGTTCTCAAAACAGGCCGTGCTATTCGCACGTCAATCACTAGAATTTCCTCGTGCAAAATTGAAACCAACCCACGATGAAATCTGATTGGTAGTTCTACTTCTAAATTGACTTCCCAGTGTAATCGCGGTTTGGGTTCGCTTAAAGTCAACGCCGTTTGTTGGGTGTATTTGGTAATGTGAGTTATGTTTTGATTTTACCAAGGTAAGGGCGACAGCACTTAAATTTCCGGAATGTTTGCAGTAATGCTGCCCTAAATACCACTCTTAATTGCCCCTTGGGGATAAATAAAGTCTTTCTGAACACTTACCTTCATTTACGTTACCCTGTCAAATTTAGTATGCCCTGTTTGTCATGTGACTATAAATCTCAGTTTTTGTACAAGACGAACGAATGCAAACGTAGCAACATTGTTGGGCCCAAAGTTGTTTTTTTATATATCAGTAACATTATGGTGTTACTCACATGACTCTGTTTAAATGATTAGCTAAGCAACTATACCCCGTGTGAGTATAGAGAAGCTCACCAGGTTATTTAAACCACAGCACCTTACTCAATACAGCCATGATTAAATTTGTATTACTTTGTACTGGTAGAAATGGGTAAAACGGCCTACTGAGTTGTCCACTGCACAGTCGTGTATGTAGTTCCTTTGCCTTCCAGTTACACTCTTTATGCATTGACAGTCCTAGTCGGCACTAGTTTACAGCATATGGGCATTTAATAGTGGATTCAAGGTGGGTTACTTTGCATTTGATGTGTGTTTTCATTTTTATACTATTAAACTACATTTTGGAGGAGAATGTAGCCCCCCCCCCTTTTTTTTAAACCTAATTAAATTTATTTGGCAGGTACACTTAGAAATTTGTAGGAAATACCTCACATATTAAATACGATGCCTTATGCATTGGCCTGGATCAGTTTTAAATTAAATTTTTTTTAGTCATACTTTATTTAGAATAATGTTATGTATTAGTTCTGTACTAGTGAACAGCTACTATTTTTTGTTCTAAATCAGAGCATTTTTGTAGAATTTGTGCAGTTGCAGTTGTTAGGATATAGAAAATTTAAACTATTTAATTAATGCTCAGCAGTGATGTTAATAAATAAGTAGTAAAACAAATGTGTTTGCTTCATGGATAAGTGAGCCTTTGCTCCTTAAGCTGTGACCTGTTGAAAGGTATTTAAGTACAGATTATATATACCATTATTAGAGAAACTGTAGCACTGATATCTGCATTTTTATTAGTGGTAGTAAAGAAAACCTTGACCTTTGGCTTATAGGGATGTGTGTCCAATGAAATAACCAATAATAGGTGATCTTGTTATGAAGTTTGACTGCGTATATTGAATCTTTAGCCTAAACACATGTAGATAATATGTTACCTTTACCCACACTTGTGGGTCTACTAAATAGTGATAGGAAAGAGCAAACACGAAGCTGTAGGCAAAAAAGGTGTGTCAAACACTGACGTGTAAACTGGTATACAGAGGTGAACCTGACCTGTTTTTAACACCATAGGTGAGGACGTGTTTTTATTTCATGTGACAAATGGGAACACATTTATTTTTAACACTGTTTTTTTTATGTTAAAGCAGTGAATTCCTTTTCTGCATAGTTTTATATGTTAAGCGTTAATGTTTTTTAGGGGTTTTCTTTGCCTCATGGCTTGTCATCCTCATGCTCAAACAAATCTGACTGGGCAGAGCTCTGTTAGGAAGGCGGAGTTAAAAGTCTAGTCCAGGAAGTTCTATTACAGCTTGTTGCATTTGACACAGGCAAGGGGAAGCTTCAAAAGCAGCATAATAGAGCTCCAGCAACAAACTACTGAAGGGTCTAAGATCATGAGTGCTGAAATAAGTGGGCAAACAGTGCCGACCGAGGAACCGGCAGCTGCTGGTTCAGGTTCAGCTCCCATTAAAGGAGGGTGGAAAGTGAGTGGCAAACAAATTTGTACTAGACATTTTGAGCCCAGATGCAATGCTATATGTCACATATGATAACTAACCTATATTCTGTTTCTTACAGTGCCCATTGAGTGATGCCCATGTTCACAGAGAAGATGTGAGAAAAGTTTGGAAAGAGTGCCAAGAGGAGAGCTTCTGGTACAGAGGTAGTCTCTTTCAGACATTCAGTAAATGCTCTCACGTGTGTCACAAATTTTCATTAACAATTTGTTGAAATGTCTCCCAGTGAGAGACAAGACTTGGAAATGTTCTTTGATGTGTAAGCAGGGTTTTTGTAGTAGAAGTAGGGGATAGGGGTCATCAATCAAGCTTACCGTTGAGGGTTTACATTCTTCACTGCGGAATTCAGTGTGTGGTCTTAAAAAAGGGGGGCAGATCAGTAAGAGGGTAAGTAACTCATAGTAAGATTTTATACTTTCGTCATTCTCTCAGTTGTGATTACAATGTGTTTATTTGATCATGATTATTTATATATGCATTGCTTTTAAAGAAATCATTTAAATACTATAACCACTCTGCCCTGCCTGATCAGAGCTTTTACTTAGGGTTAAGGTTGGGTGAAGCTTGGCTGGGAGTGTCCAGAGGTAAAAAAGAGGTTCTAGATAAAACTAAGGGGGGAAAAAAAACACCCGATCTGGAAAAAGTAGTAGAAGAAAAAAAACACAAGAGGTTTAAAGATATATCAGTCATTTATGCACACCCACACATCTTTTATACAACTGTCAGAAAATAATTATCACAGCAAAAGCTTAAGATTGTATAAGCTACTGTGAGCAGCTTGCACTAAAGAAAATATTGTGGTCAGGCTTTTTTAGATAAAGAATTCCCAAACTGAAGATTATTGGTGTTTCATGTGGCAACACATCGTTGTCTTTAGTCTCCATCTTGGCCCGGCCTCTCACCACTAACCACACAGCTGCTGCTCATCTTCTCTCATCAAGCAGTTATGTAAACATGCAGTGGCAGCAATCACTTCTTCCTGTATCCGTCCTTTCCATCCCATTAGATGGACATGAGGTTGAGTTTCGGTATATGTCTCATTACTCCAAAGTTCATTTAGGTTGAACTATAGGCAAACAAAGCAAAATTAACATCTTCTAGTGGATTCATTCATATGGGAAATATCGGCATTTAATCACAGACAGAAAAACTTATCTTTATGCATTATGTATTTGTTTTGAATGCTGGCTTTTTAAAATAACTTTACTCTGATTCTATTATAATATTTCCCCAAACGCTGTCCAGCAGTTTGTGGCTTTGATCAGCTTCAGAGTAACTTCTGTTTGACTTGATTTCTGTTTTTAGCGCTTCCATTGTCTCTGGGCAGCATGGCTGTCACCGGTGGTCTCATCTACCAAGGTAAAGCATTAACATTCAAACCCCGTACTTTAAATTGCATGATATTGATCAAAGTAAAGCAGGTGTTTCTATAGTTATCACTTTTTTCCCTCCATAGGTATTTGGAAATCATCAAAGCGATTTGGTCCTTTTCCAAAACTAGCAGGTTTGTGTCTTTCAGTATCTTGGATCTCAGTTTGTAAGTGGCAGCTGTGATTAATGAAATAATTGTTCTTCTTCAGTTGCAGGGATCCTTGGATTTGCAGTGGGGAAAGCATCCTATGTGGGCACTTGTCGGAGCAAATTCCAGGAGCTTGGCATTCAGGGTGGACCGGGGATTGGACCCTGGTCAAAGAGAGATCACCCTGGTCACAGACACAGGGAGGGCAGGTGCTGAATTTCTGTTTGTGTAATATTATCATGTTGTGTGGTAATATTCGCAGGTTCTGGAAGAGGAGGGTTGATAATCGGAAAAAGACTAACTTTGTGGTTTTCGTTGTATATTTGATTGTCCATTTGTTTTTATTTCATTTTACTTTATTTTTTTAATATTCTCTGAGTAATTGCTCTTCTGACTTGTTTATTGACCACCAGAGTTACAGTGCAAGCATTCAAAAGTCGTTCGGAATCAAATTACTTTATTAATCCCAGAGGAAATTGTGTCATTGTGCTGGTCCACCTTTAATAAAGGACATAAAAACAATTATTTAAAAATGTTACAGATACTTATTTTAACAACCAATGGTAATTTTTTTCTCCTCTCTTTGGATGATCAATACCCTCACGCCTCAGCATGACACTTACCCAAACATTATCCTCACAGACCCTGCCACCATGTGTGTGAAGAATGTAAGAAAAATGCTCCAGCAGCACCAGCTGGACAGGCTTAAAGACTGTGAGGACGGATGTACGGTAACATTCAGTGTGCATAACTGTAAAAATAATGTATTCAGATTAGTGCAAATATAAACTATCAGAAAATATGAAAAACAATATATATATATATTTTTTAAAAGGACAACTTTGATATGTTACATAATTTGTGTCACTGTACATTGATGCACACCTATTTAAGTATTTCCTTTCCTTTTTCATCCTCACCAGTGTTGGAGAGATTTTCTGCATGAATTCATCACCTTCTTATCAATGTCTTAAATAAAACTTGTAAACACGTCTCATTTTATCAAATAACCACTAGGGGGCGCTGCTATCCTTTCTATCAAAGAGCAAGCGCTTATAGAATTTCTAGTTTATACAGGGAGGTGAATATATGGGTAAAGCCAGGTCTTTGGACATAATTATCAACAACTAAACAGTTATTGAATGTTAAGAATGAGATCTGAAAATAAATAAATAACAGCCCTATGACAATGGAGAAAAAAAAAAAGGTTTTGCCAAACTTGAATCATCAGGCGTGAGTACAGTAACGACCACATCCATAACAGCAGCAGTAGTCCTACCTTAGGTTGCTCAGTGAATATGCAATGCTTGGCTACCTTCAAAAACAACTAAGGTGTAAGGGGTT